GGGGGAAAAAAAAAAAAAAAAAAAAAAAAAAAAAAAAATTTTCAGGGATTTTTTTTTTTTTTTCCCCCAAAAAAAAAAAAAAAAAAACTACGTAAACACTACTTTACCAATTGTACTTTACCAATTTACGTAAACACTACTTTACCAATTTTTACATTTATTTTAGTAACAGAAATTTAGATGTCTCGGATAATAAAATGTCAATATATTTTTAGAAGCAATTTCTTCATCTACTATGAATCTTTTAGATATTTCATGGTATTTATGCGGTGAATCGTAAAAGTAAATTCAAAATTCAATTGATATGTCTATATGACAACGCAACTTATCTAGAAATAAGACAGAGTTCTAAAGTTAAAACAGTTTTAATAGAAATTTTTAAAATATTATTGCAAAACACATTACTTTGAAATTTAATTCGTTTTTGTATCAATTTTGAAAATTAATTTAAATGTAGATTGTATTACAATTGTCTCGTATTCATAATTTATCTTTCAACATAATTTATTCATTTCTCATTTTATCAAAAATTGGCACTGTTTTTTAATCTCCTCATGTTTTTTTTGAATTTTACTAAATTCTTTTTTTTTTAAATTATATACATTATCGCAAATTTACAATTCCAAATCTACGAGTTGAAAAAGTTATGTCATTTAAGAGTTAGTAAGAAAGGAAAAAATTAATAATAAATATTAAATAATAAAAATAATAAAAAGTAATATTACATAAACATTAGGAAAGAATGATTCTTTTACATGTAAAGTAATAAAATGATTACTAAACGTCGGATGTTTATACAAATCTTTTTACGAATACAACTAAAGACATGAAAATTTATATTTTTATATATTATGTACATTTTGTGGATTTTTGCATCTTTAAATTTTTTCTAAAATAGAAAAAAGTCCACAATCTAATAATTAAACTGCAATATACATAGTAATTTTCTAATATTTCACATCAAAAATATTTTAATTTATTTTATTCATTATACTATCAAAAAACAATTATGTTTAATGCTTGACAATTGCTTCTTTCATTTGCAATTTATATTTAAAACATTTTTCAAATACGTAGTCAGAAAAACAATTTTAGTATTTCATTTTTCTTTAGTGATCTCACGAAACCGGTTATAAATGGTACCTACCATTAATCAAATTACAAGAAACGCCTATAAAAGGACTAGGTCCATTTGCATAAAATCAAACGTACCATTTTCTTTTATTTCAACTCAAAAGAAAGGAATTTACATCTGAAATTAAGGGTAGATTAAAGTAGACGAAAAGAATATATCTTTGAAATTAGAGGAGCGCTAGATTAAATGAAAAGAATATTCCATGAACACTCTGATGATATTAAGTTACAAAAAGAATTTGCCTCTGGTATTAATATACCTTCACGATTCTTCAAAAAATAAAATTTTTTAAAAGTCAAAAGTTTTTAAGAATATTTATATCTGTGAGTTTTATATTAATTATAATATATAAGATATTTGATGAAACAAAATTATTTTTGAAAATAAAAGATTCCAAAGTTTAACAATTAAATTACTTCGACACTTTTTTACATTAAAGTTGTCAATAAAAAAAAAAACATAACATATTTTCAAATATTCCAACGATATTTTTCTTAAAAATTTATTCTCTAACGCTATTTATAGTCTATATGTAAATTAATTCTTACATTAAAAATTTCTTAAATAAACAAAAAAATAAACACATACTAAATACTAGACATTAATGTTAATTATAAAATAAAAGCTAATTAAGCTAATAAAATAAAATAAAATTAATTTAGAAATTTATTTGGAACAAACAGTTAAAAATAGGACTGCTCGAATAATCCAGAAATTTAAAAAATAATAAATTGATCCTAATGTAAGGGAACGGAAAAAGCATAGCTTTAAAGTAGAAGTTTAAACTACAGACCAAATGTATTGGCCCATCAAGGCCATTTCTTCTCCTGTGCCATTTCGTTCCATTCTCATTACAGGAAGAAAAATCAAGAGAGCTTAGATATATATTATACAGGAAGAAAAGAATGAAAGAGAAGAAAAGAGAAAAGGAATGCAATGCGCAAAAACGACAATTCAAAGAAAAAATTCTTTTAAGACGTAAAACGAAGACAGTACTGCCGTTAAAATTTACTTTTACTGATCATGAGCAAAAGTAAAACTTCTAGTAGGAACGTGCAAGCAAATAGTCATTCATTATTATTCTAGCTTTAGAACTCGAATTTTAATTATTTAGAATAGTAGAATATTGAGCACACTTTCGTAAACCTAATATGAATTTACAAATAATTTTATGCGACATAATTTTACAAATAATAGGCGAAAAAAAGTTTTTCATATATAGTAAAGCTTCTCATATTCGAACCTCCATTATTCAAATACTTTAATATCCGTTAATATTTGTTAGTAATAGCGAATTTCCATTCGAATCACTATTCGAACAGAATATTTACTAGTAATGCTTTTTCTTGTAGACATGTTTTTCATAATTGCAAAGAAACTTACTAAAATATCAGATATAAGATTACTAAAAAAAAAAAAAAACCAACAACATTGATGAAATATAATATAAGAAATTATTTTTAATTCTGTCATGAATTAGTGTTATAAATAACGAAGGTATCTTAAATATAATTTTTGAATATATTGAAATAAACGAAAACGTATGTATCTTACGCTGAAAAAAGGCCTTCGACAATTCGAAATACAGATTTACAAATGTAAACCTATGGAATGTGTGGAAAAAAACTCAAATAATTCAATAACTACAAAAATATGTAACAGTCTAAACTATTGAAATAAACTGTTAATTTTCTCAATCTTCGTTTAAATAAATGTAATTTAAATATTGAAAAAACATGGCGATATATTGCCATGAGAACAAAGTCAGATTAAAGAGATATTCATATGCATTTGGAAGAACGAATACGATTAACTTTTAAATATGATATTTTCCCATATTTAATTAATCATTACAAAAATATCACAATTTATGTGCCAGAAAATTAAAAAGAAAATCAAAATAAGTATTCAAGCTATAGAGAACCTATATGTATTTTTTTATTTATGAAATTCGATTTTTCTCGAAAATAAAGGCTTCGATGAAAAAATTTTATTCTTTCTTTTTGCTTCGTTTCACGTAGAATCATCCTCTCTTCAATACCCGGACATTCTATAAATTTTTCAGTACATTGAGTATACTTTAGCAACTCTAAATGCCCTATTTGCATTTGAATCCTTTTGAGACAGATTTCTTTCTTTTGTCAATTAACGCAATTACGTAATAATTCTATATTTATTACTTCAAGAAATTTTGGTTTATACTATCAAGTTTTGGAAGCGGAGTACATATTTCAGAAATCTCAGTGGTAATTGGAAAACTATAAGAGCAAAATAATATTATTTATACACGCTGAGAGTTTATCTCCCAACACAGACTACATTTGGGACGTGTTTCAATAGTCTCGAAATTAAAGTCTGAAATTTTAAACATATGGAAATTACGACGTATCATCTTAAGAGTTTGAAGAAAATGCCATGAAATGTTCTGAAGGATGCACTTGAAACGTAAAAAAAAAAAAAAAAAAAAACATAAATCAAACTGTAAAGTACCGCATTAAGAATTCGAAATTTTTCGAAGCGCTTCGAGAAAAATCGTTCGCAGCCCAGTGATTATAGGTAGATTTGTTGTTGAATTAAATGCAGAGTTCAGTTACCTGTCGGAACCGTGGCTCCTCACTTTGCCTGGCAGTAGAGGCGGACCCGGGCCGCGCTGTGCCCGTGCCTGAGGCCCGCAGGGCGCAGCCAGTTTCCCGGCCGCGGCAGGGTCGTGGCACCCGTTACCCCCGATCCGAGGGCCGAGCCGTAGGTCCCCAGCGCTCCCAGCGTGCCCGTGGTGCCCTTCAACGTGGTCATGCCCACCGGCAGGCCTGCGCTCGCTCCGTTCGATCCGTACATCTGTTGCACTGGAATTCCGTAAAACACATCAGTCCCGCCATAGCACCTGCATCTCTTCCGATTTCGGTTCGAAATTTCTTTTGTTTCCTTTTTCATCTTTCATTTCATTTCTATTCTTCGTCACTCTGTTCGTCCTTTTGTTTTTAACAAAAGCGTCTCTCCGAATGCGTCGCAGACACTTTTATTTGAAATGAAAAGTACTTGAAATAGTAACTTGAGATACTATTTGAAAATGTGTTGTTTGAAAATTTGATGACAAGTACACTGAAATTATTTGTTTTTTAACGTACGAATGGGAATTGTTAATTGTTTAAGATGTATCGGTAATTATAATTTATAATAATATTATAATTAATATAATTTATAATAATATTATAATTAATATAATTTATAATAATATTATAATTAATATGATTTATAATAATATTATAATTAATACAATTTATAATAATGTTATAATTATATAATAATATTTCACGCTTTGTTGATATTCAAATAATATTTTATGATTACTATTTTAGGGGGAGATTAATTTAAAAAAACAAATATTGATAAATAATATTATATATATATATATATATATATATTCATAGGAAAACATTCACATATTCTATACCTTAATATTCTTTTTCACTATCACTTCAATAGAATATTTCTAATTATATTATCTGTTCTCAAAAAATCTTTCTATTTCATCAGTTCAACAAAATTTCTCTATCGAATGTAATTTAGAATAATAAAATGACAAAGAATTTAGAATCTTCTCTTTCCAAGAAAACATAGAGTATCTTTCAATAAACGAGTCTGTTCCCATTCCTCTCTCGTCAACAATTATATTTGTTTCAAACTGGAAAAATTAAATAACATGTGCCTTATGAAATAAAAAATAATATGAGAGTAATCTTGATTTAAATAACAAACATAATAAAGAATAATCTGAATATATTAATAGTTGTATTAAACAACGGATGTTTATATGTATATTGAAATTTTAAAATGCAAAAAGGAACTAAAAATACAAAATATATAATATACGGTACCGTGGTTATAAGATTTAATGACTCATATTCTTCAGTTTGGTTTCTTTCATCGTGTTCGTACGAACCTACAGTTTAATTACAAGCAACTTCGAGATTTTATTATTGGGATATTTATATTTATATAAATATTAAATAATATATTTTATATTTTATTATTAATATATTTTATATTTTATTATTAATATATTTTATATTTTATTATTAATATTATTAATATTATTAGTATATTTTATATTTTATTCTTAATATTATTAATATATTTTATATTTTAGTATTTATTATTTTACGGAATATTAATATCCTACGACACAAAGAAATATCCATCCAGCCTCATCGAACTCGGTGGAAAAAAAAAAGAAGAACCGCGTCTCGAGCACAAGGGAATCTGGGTCGAGCGTAATTTTTTCGAGACGAGAACCTTTCGACGAAAATGCGTCCAACGTGCCGTGACTTTCGGACGCTGCGCTGGGAGGAAACGCTCAGCGCGGTCAGATATATGCGCCGAACGTGACGAGGAAGAGGACCGGCGAACTTCCGCGAGTCCATACAAGTTTCAGACGCATATTCGTCATGTCCCTGGCGTTCATTGCTTTTGTTTAGTCGACACGGGACGCATCTGCCATTTTTATAGCTGGCGTCGCGCGGTGTGCGCCCTGCAAACTGCCGTTTCAAGGTGGCGCGACAATTGCGAAACGTGATTCAAAGGCGTTGAACGTACGACCTCCGCATCGTAATTCTCGCGAAATCGAATTGTCGCGGGTACAAAGGAGAGAAAAGGATTGGTAAGTTTGTATAACACTTTCGTAAAAAGTCGACGTGCGATCATTTCTTTCGGTATTGGGCTGTTAAACAAATGGCTATATTGAGCGAAAATAAATATAACTTTTTTATTTCTTTAAACGAGAAAAAATTTTTTTGTTTCAAGGTTTGTTTTATTTTAGTAATATTTTATTTTAGTAATTATTATATATTTATTATTATATAAGATTATAATATTATAAATTATTATTATATAAGAGTTTTGGTCAAGGTTTGTTTTATTTTAGTAAAATTATATATTTATTATTATATAAGATTATAATATTATAAATTATTATAAGATTATAATATTATAAATTATTATTATAAGATTATAATATTATAAATTATTATTATAAGATTATAATATTATAAATTATTATAAGATTATAATATTATAAATTATTATTATAAGATTATAATATTATAAATTATTATTATAAGATTATAATATTATAAATTATTATAAGATTATAATATTATAAATTATTATTATATAAGAGTTTTGGTCAAGGTTTGTTTTATTTTAGTAAAATTATATTTATTATTATATAAGATTATAATATTATAAATTATTATTATATACGATTATAATATAAATTATTATATAAGATTATAATATTATAAATTATTATTATATAATATTATAAATTATTATTATATAATATTATAAATTATTATTATATATATAATATTATAAATTATTATTATATGAGTTTTTTATTCTAGTAAAATTATGTTTTAGGAATAAAAATACGTATAAAAAACAATTTTACTGTTACCTTTTGGTTTAAAATTGAAAACTAATTTGTGAGTAAACTGGATAAGATGATTCACATTCTATTAATAATATTCACTTAATAAACGTAATTTTGAATGAGTCAACCCTCCGATATTTAGTACAAGACACACTATCAATTTAAGTATTTAAAACACTATATTTATTAGCACAAAATTGCTGACAAGGCATCTTATGACCTAAATGCAACAGTTTGACTTTTTAACATAATTTCGTGGTATAAAAAATGACTGTATTAAATATACAAATTTTAATATATATAAAATATATTTTATGTTACGTAAGTTGTGTGGATAAATAGTAATAAAATAAAATTGGAACATCAAATTTCTTTTAAATTACTATGTACTTTTTCTGCACGTGTGTAAATGCAAAAATTAATCAATTAAAAATTTATTTATTTAAACTTCTAATTGAACAATTTATAATGGTAAATTCTTATTAAGTTACACACGTTAAATCATAATTTCGTTAAAATTTTCAATTGCATTATTAATATCAATTAAGTTACCGATTTATGCACAGACGGTATATAGATGATATATAAAAAAAAAAATCAATCTATGTTATTAACAGAAATAAAAAATTTCACCGAGCCATTTTACTCCGATCTCTTCTAAATGTATTAAAAAATTTTCTTTATACTCGTAACTTTAACTCTTTGAGCGTTAATTCACACCAGAGTATTGTACAGATAATTTTATAATTAATAATAAAGTAATAATATTAAAGACTGAAGGAGAATAATATATTACAACATACTAAAGAAATATAATTCAAAATATGTTTAAAGGTGAATACATTTTCAATCTGCTGTGTATTTTTCAGTAGTTTTAAGTACTCAAAGAGTTAATACACATAGATAATTTTTCAATATAATCGTCATCCTTATTGTAATGCGAGTGTTTCTGTATATTTTCGTCATACACAACAAATTTACATGATCATCGTTGCAGCCCATCTTTTAAATCTTAAATTATCGTCTCTGTAAGTGCGTCGTTGTTTTAAAAAATTCTTTGAACTTTGCGAAAAGATAGTAATCAGATCAAGTACAGCATTGCTGTACTTTGACGGTGAATTTCTCTTGAATTAGCGTTTTCAGTATTTAAAAGGCATTTTTTTCGTCAAAAGCCGGGATTTTCAATTTTCATCGCCATTTTATACGTACGAAATACGATATTTATCTAAGTTTAAATAAGAAACTTGATATAGTTTATAAATTAATACACGAATATAAAACTATTATAATTAATCTTCGATAAACACGTTCGATTGTTTCATATATATGATGTCTATATATAAATTTAACGTAAAATATAGTACAAATCATATGTAAATTCTTCCATTCTGAGCAATTATAATACCAATTTACTGATCGTGGAATCTGCAATAAAGCAATGACGCGAATTCCATGACGAAATCGCTACAGCTGAATTTCAAGATACAAAGAAACTCGTTTCATATATTTTTATAGTTATTGCCTCCTCTTCGCAGTTTGGCAATACACGTATATTTTCACGTATCGTCACCTCTATATCATTGTGCCAGTCAATATTGGATATCGAGTCAGCATTTTTTTCTATTGTTATTCATGGTTTACGTATCTGGAGGAGAAGCTGGGTCACGACATTTTCATTGTCATTCTAGCATCTCCCGCTATCCGAACGCTTCAAAGCTTTGTGCATCGCGAATCGATCAAACCGTCGCGTCCTCGTTGTGATACAAAATGGGTTATCAATACCATATCCTTTTGAATTTCTGATGTGGCTTATCGGTGTGATTTAACGTTTATCTGTTTTTTTTTTTTTTTTTTTTTGAGTTTAATATTGCAGTTAGTCACGCAAGAACGTATTTAACTTCTTGTGCCACGCACGTCGAGAATTTCTTTGTTCCAAAATTGTACTATTTTTCTCAGTTTTAAGTAAAAATTTGAGTAAAACAAAATAGGCAAAACAAATAATACATTTATTACTACTTAATAATTTCTATCCAGTGATATGATACCGAGTTCAAAAGAAAAAGAAAGCGACGAACTATTGTATACGGTTCGGTCACTCGTTATGGTCCGCAATCAGTTGCACGAAAGTATTCGAACATTAATAAATTTCAGATAAAGAAGGTCTCAAGTCCAATTTTTTGATTTTCGAATATGTTGTAGAAGAGTGAAAGAAATTATATTTCTTAAAAAAAAATTTTTCAATTTTTCAATTTTACCAGTTTTACAAAACTTCTCCATCAGATGTAACTTTGAAAAGAAATGAGAAAAAATTTAGAATCATCTCTTTATCGTCAAAATATCCTGAATTTTACATTCACTGTGTTTCAATACTCGATACATACTGAGTTTCAATACATTAACACGTTCGTGG